TAGGAATTGAATCACAAACACGCAAATTTTCAGTCGGTTTATTTAACCCCTTGACGACAGGAATTTCTTCCCGAAAGATAACTCCAAGAATTCCAGCCTCGCTTGGTCACGAAGGCCACCTGCCAAACCGCAAATTCTCAGTTTGTGGCCCTGCGTGCTCTGCAAGCTTTGAATTACACGGATAAAAGGCTGATTGTTCAGTGGCATGTGGCTCTACTCACCCTTCCACATTCCCATTGCCTCTTTTCAAAGTGGGGACTATTGTGAAGCTGGTGATTATGATGCAAAATCGGTCTTTTCATTGCTGGGCTACACACAAAAGACCAATTACCATATATATATGAGCCAGGGTCTGCCTTCTTTCACTGTGTTCGCTTGAGCGTGGGCCGAGAATAATAGCGGGCCCCTTTTGAAAAGAGGTCAGCAACAAAAAAAAAGTTACATAACACCGCACAATCTGGGCTCTTTTTACAAGGCTGCAGGCCTTGCTGAAATACTTGGGCGTCAATGAAGGTCACCTGTCAACTTAAAGTAGTGCCTAAAGATTACTTCGTGCGGCTATAAACGACCGTTAAATGGAATGATGAATTTTTGAAGGATTTTGAAAAGGGAAAAAATGCTAGTCATGCCGGCCCAGCATCATCAACGTTGAAAAATGCCCCGGCGTTAAGTGGATAAGGATCTTACAAAAACAATCAGCCTTATCTTGACAACTTTCAGTTGTAAGAATTTCCTCCCAAGTTTGTGGATCCACTATCCAAAGGATTATATACACGAATCTTTCATTGGTTGGGTGCTTATTTTCTGCATTATGTTACAAGCCTTTATTTTCTTCGGTATCCACATGACACAACTGTGGTCACTCCTTCCAATCGGTTGAGTGATATCTGGGTTTTCATAAATATCAGAAAAATGAGTGAAAAGCTTATCTAATATGGCTTCTTGTCTGGTTGGCTTTGTAACAATCTGTTTGAAGTTATTACCACTACAAATCAATGTTATGTCCATTCTGTTAAAATCACCGAGGATAACCATACCAGTATGTGGTTTTTTTTTGTCCAAATCGAATCCACGGTTGTAATAATGTGCTGACAAAGAAGATCCTCCAACTGACAATCATGAGGGCAGTACACAGCAAACAAATTGATGGCGGGAACACTCCTTGGCAGTCGGGAGTGATGCACAGAGATCCACAATCTCTCAATGTCTGGTGAAACCTCAGTATCAAGGCACTTCGCTTGCAAGTGTTCTTTCACATAGACCAAGATCCCTCCACCGGTCCTTGTTTGTCTACATTTACTGAACACTCTATAGCCATGAATGGCATACTGCTCAATAACTGTGTGAGGAGTTATCCAAGATTCATTTATAACAGCAATGTCAATATGATTTTCTTGAAGAAACACATCCACTTCATCAATTTTATTCAACACAGAACATGCATTAGTCAGCCTGAAACGAGGCAAAAACATAGGCTGAGATAATGAATGGGGTTTGTTCGTAGCTGTAACATTTGTCCCTGGGATACAGAATTATGCACAGAATTACTAAAAAGGGGTTTAGGGTCTAGGGGAACAAATCCAAAGTCAGATAGAGTATTTCGTTTTTCCATGACGCGGGCAAAATGTACACCGAAAATAGATCATGGACTTGCATGCACTCAATGAACGTAATACACACGTATGCACGTAGCCTACACACACAAACATTGCATGGAATGAGTGGGCATTTAGTTACCAGGCGATCACACGAATACG